AGTGTTAAATATATTCCATTGGTCATTTTAAAAAACACAGTTAGCTAGTCCATATTAATTATTAGCAGATGAGAAATGTTTGCCCACCTGGCTGCTGCAGGTGTGGGGATCTAATCCTCCTTGCTGTTAGGCCAGTAGCTGAAAACGAGTAAGTCACTAAAATGGAAGACAATGTGGTTAATTTTACAATTTTCTTCAAGCTTAATGCCATTACAATTTCATAAAATTGAAACTATGAAGAGTCTGTGACAAAAAGATAAATAAAGATGAATAAAACTCCATACATTCCTTGGTCACATTTCACCTGTGTACTAAGTCTCTTTTCCTTCATAAAAATTCACATGGCTTGACCACATACGAATTTCTAATCCCCTCTGGGGAAAAATATAGCATTTATGAACTCCAAACACCTTCACTTGGCTCTAAAAATTGTCTATAATTTGGTCCCACACTATTTTTCTGGTCTTACTTCCTATTATTTAATTTAGTCAAACCCAATTACGTATAATTCTAGGATGGCCTGGATGTTTCCATCAGGGTACTTTACTTAATGCCGTGACATAATGGTTTTAGAGCAGGTTCTGGAGCCAGACCTTCCACGTTCAAATTCTGGCTTCAACACTTAGGACTCCACGACTTTGGGTAAGCTATTATTTAATCTCTGTATTCCTCATTTTCCCATTTGCAAAATGGAGATATAATACTATCAATTTGATAGAGTTGTTTCAGATATTAAATGAGTTAACTCACGTAGTGCTTAGACTATGGCTTTCCATGGCATGCACACACACAAGAGCTATTATTTCCCTGCAACATGGAAAGCCCTCCTTCAAGGTCTGCTCAAATGCCCCATCAAAAATGACCTCCGGGCCCCTACAGCGCTGAGAGCATTTTGCAACCCGAGCAGATCTCACCCGACCCGAAGGTGCGCGCTCCTGACCCATGCCCGGACATGGACGCGGCCCAGCGCGGCCGGCCAGCCCACGCCCTGTAAATCAGGAGTCTGTGGGCGCTACTAATGCGTTGAGGCCCGTTTCCTCAATAAAATTGTACACAACCACTTCGGGCAGGAGTCCAGGGAAGTCTTTGTAAAATAGAAAAAGTCGTACAAATGTTGCGGGCACCAGATCAGCGGGAGTTACCCCTGGGATGAGGCACGCCCGAGCGCCCCGGGTTACACTTTGCTGGAAGCTGGGCGAAGCAAAAGGGATTAGGAAAGACGCGCATCTCGGGACAAGGTCCTCGGCCTCGTGCCACACCTGGGTGGCGCTCGGGGCCCGGGCCGCCGTCTCCGCGTTCTTGCCTGTAGATATCGGCGTCCGCTCGGACCTGCCTAGCGGTGCCGCAGCCGCAAGTGAAGGCGAGCGAAGGGCACCCGGGCCTCACCCCCGACTGTCTTACCTCTGACGGTGGAAGCGCCGAGCCGGAAGAAGCAGTCGGAAGTGAATGGCCGAGCCCCAACATGGCCGCCGGGGCTTCACCTCGGCCCCGCCCACACAAGGTCCCGCCCACACGAGGTCCAGCCCCTCAGAGCTCGCCCGCTCTGGATCCTAACTCCAGGGATCCACGGCTCCACTCCCAACGGCCCGACCCCTGGCTGGCATTGCGCTTCCCGGCGCCTCTGAGTGGGCGTCCCACAGGCCCAATCCCCGCAA